ACTTACGCACAATAAAGCACGAGCTTTCCCATCCCCTTTTGTTCTTTCCATCCCAGGCATTGCTGCCAGAGTAGATGGATTACCGCTTACCTTTTTGTATGCTTACAAGACAATTTTGTTAACGTAGTAGAAAAGCACACCTATTCGATGAAGAAATGGACTTTCAGTGTCATTCAAATATAGCAACCTCAAAGCGGTTAAAACGAGGTTAATGCAAAGAGAAATTCGTAGAAGAGTGTAATATAAAATATTTTAGATTTTAACAGCCATTAATTTTAACCACCCTGAAATTTGGGCGATTTTGGTCTTGCTATCGCAAACCTTGGAAGAAGGAGAAACGGGAGGATCCAGCACGATCGAAGGAATTTCTAAAATTCTCCACGAATGCTTGAAGGGGGAAAGTGGTTTAAGTAAAATAAGAGAGGGGTCATTAAACAAAGGTTAAAATGAAGGTAGAGCCATTCCAGAAAGAGATTTAACAACAGCTTGTGTAAAGAAGTGAGGAATGGGGAGACACAAGAGGTAAATTTAATAAGCTTGATGATTTGGCAAAGAACGTGAGCGTTTTCTGGAATTTACTATCTCCACCGCCTCCTATCACAGATAAATCCGGTAGTGATAATTTCTGTGCTCATCATCACGGTTGTTGCATTCCGTGCCGTCATCTTGGTTCATACACCGAGCCATCCAGGATCTTCCTCTGTGGTGTTCTGCGAAGTAGATGGAGGTAGCATCTGTCATTCGTTTTAGCATGGTTTTGGGCCGCCTTTTCCTTAGTACGTCAGGGCACACAGGTGACTGTTTGTAATTACATATCCTGGTAACGAGCAAAAATACAAAAGTAAATGAGCCATCAAATGCTAAATGCTTAAAATCCCGTATTCTTACAATGCATTGAGGTTGTCAGGAGATTCCCGCTTGATTATGAAAAAACCTGAATTATTCCGACTTCGTTTCATTTAGGTTGGCAGTTATTTCGACCTAATTTCCTGGGGCGATCCCAAAACTATGAAAGTGTCTCTTAGTTTACCACATCTGCCCTAAATATTTTATCAGTTTTTACATCTATATTCTTATTTTTATTTTTCATTAAGTTTTATTGAGTTTTCATCGTCCGATATCGGATAGGTTTCATTTTTATCACGCTTATAGATATGAGAATATATACCTCCCAGGAAGGCAGTAACTCGTTCAGCTAGCTTTGAAAACGTTTTTTCTGATGTCCAAAGGCATTTCCTTTTGGTTGCAATTTTTGTCTTATTATCATGTAATTTGTACACAAAAAGGAAAGACGCAGAGGCGCGGCTTGTGATGTGGGTAAGTGGAGCATTTACACGAAGAGAAGGGCAGAAACGAGATTTAGGTTCGTAACCTTGTAAAAGTCGCTATGCACTAACTTCACAGTCGCAAGTCCTTTACGCCAATTATGATTTTAGTAAAGAATCAGAATAGAATTAAATATCATACAATAAGTAATGATGGTAGCCCTATCTTCTAACCCCGGTAAAGATTTGCACTAGTCCAACACAATTCCAAGGCTAAGCTGTGCAGTCTATTCTGCTGAACCGGTTTACCGGTCCTGACAGCTTCGTCAGAGTCCACCTACTCCCTCGTGTATCCTGAGGAATAGGAGTGCAAATAAAATCTCATGATGCGGGACTTGTTAAAAAGAAAGGAGCATCAATTAAACATGTATTTTAAAAATTTGTTTTGGCAAGTTTCGTTGAAAGTTATGCAAACTTTGTGTCAAAGCAAATGTGGACAAAATAAAACTTTTCTCAAATTTAACATGATCTAGCAATTAAATGAGCATGAAGATGGATTGATGCACCTACCCGAGAAAGTTGACAAAGTTGCAGCGATGGCGATCTTGAAGCCCTGCAGCGATTTGAAAGTTACCAATGACCCAGAAATACTTTAACCCATTGTACTGTGTACCCTTATACATGAAGTATTCGTTTATTACACCTCAGCAGTCCGACAGGCGGAGTACCTCCTCCTCAGGCGACTTGACTCTTCTCTGTTTTAGCCATTCTTATCAGAAATGCATTTGATATTTATTTCGAGGTCAGGTGGAATATACCGTAAACCCATGGCTTCACGAAACATGTTATTATTCACAGAAAAGTGAAACATAAATGTTTAGTGCTTTCCGTAATATAGGCGTTGCCTTTCAGCATGCATAATAAGCCTTCCTTGAGTTTTGACTTCGATATCTCGATTTGCAGTCTCGCGGATATTAGTGATTCCAAAAACTGATGGATGAGGCTGAAACATATTAACGTGTGAAAGCTAATGGAAGCTACTACATAGAGGAGATAGGCGAACCCGCAATTCGCCTTCACCACGTAAAACGACCTAGTAAATTGTATGTAATATGTTTTGCTACTACTCAGCCATTGTTCAATGGCCCAGGATGCTTATTCGAAAGAGATATCTGAGACTAAAATGGAAACCTTTTACAATGCAATTAGAACATTATAACACCTTGACTTAACATTTGTAATGGAGTATGCTCTATCACATCGTGTGCACGTGATGCTTTAGAGAAACCCTTGAATTCTTGTAAACGGATTTTGACAAAACTTCTTGTATGGTAGTCGTTTAACAGAAAGGTGATCCCAATTTGATGATAAAAAAGGAAAACAAAAAAAAATCAGAACATGTTTCAGGGAACTCACCTATCCTATCCCAAAGATGTCATTATTTTTACGACCGAAAGACTTGCGTGTACCAGACCTCCAACTCTACACCCTTCAAGATTCTGATTTGCGACCTAATCATTTCACCTGTAATGCACATTTCTCACTTTTCCACTTCTTCTGCTGACAAGTCAGACTGCTCATTATTGAATAATTTACCGATTAACCGAGACGTTTTGCTTTCGTTGACGCTCCATAGACCACCTGAGAGATGCACTCTTCCTTAACATCGAAAAACGTCATTTCAACGTCTGCTGACTGCACTCCTCACACTGATTGGCAGGTGCCCGTCTAGTGCTTTTCTTTAATCCCTTGTGTAGCAATGGATTTGACAGACGCTTAACTCATGTTTCCTGTAGATTTATGCTATTGATGTGGCATATCCACACTGAGTCTCGGACAAGAGAGACCTAATCGGATATCCTACTAAAGGGAGACCCCAACTTCTTCTCACTCCGATGCAAGTGATGCTCCTTTCCTTATCTCACCACCAACCTTTTTACCACTTGCTGCATAGAGCTCTTAACTTGGCCCTAGTTAAATTATACAGACGAAGAAGATTCTATGAGGTTAATTCACACCATCATATGCTGGCAGGCAGTAGTTGGCTTTGCTTCCGAATGTGACTCACATTGTCAGCAAGTGCTGCCCATAATGAGGAGGTAGGATATGGAAAACACTCTGTTCACTCTAAACTCGTGCTCGGAACTCGCCTCCTATATTCCTTACATTTGTATTTTTCAATCGGCCTCATTGTTGACATTGAACTGGTTCAATGATGTCTTGTGTAATGTATTTTTGAACCTGTCTATGGGATGGCAAAAGTCTTAGAGTGTAAGAGAGAGGCTACACAATCAGTTAGAAAACCTGTCACCCAGGATCGATTTCTCCCCATAATTACCTTTACATCATGCTGCCGATAAAAAATACATACAAGAATATAGTGGAATGGCGAATTGACCTTGGAAGGAGGCATATGCGGACTGCGTGCACCTCTATGTGACATCGCTACGTCTCACTCCCTTCTCCAACTCCTGAAATGGAGGCATAGAGGTATATTTTGGTCGTGTTCAGTTTAGAATGGTACATTAACTTTGGCTAATTAATTTATGCGGAGAAAAGCTGCTTATCACTATTGTCTTTCCGTAGTTAAGAGACAACATTTAGCTGCAGGAAATACGTAACACACATCCTTCCTCACCTTCCCTACAACCGACGCGTGCACTGAGCTCAGCATTGGTCATAATCTGCAATTTTCTGTGCATAACTTTCAAGGTGAAACGGCAAATTTTTTTGTGACAATAAACTACGCTTTTATTTGTTCTCGCTGCACTATAAATTCAAATATATGCTTACTTCCTCCTTCATTTAAGTTGATATTGTGCAAGGTGGTCAGTTTTATCAAATCTAATGAAGCATGCTATATGCTTAGGACAACTTCAGGATATTAATGCTAGTTCAAAGCAACCAGGTTGGGGTTAGCCTTTTTTTATGCTCCCATTCTTATGACCTATTTACGGAACCACTGTACTTTACTGGAGTATCGTTAAAAAGTGATGACGATCGTGTTTGTCTTGCTAGAGATCCTGTTATTTGCCAGCATAATTCAATGCATATTTGTTAATTTTATTACTCTGACAAAGAGGTTATAAATCCAAACCTCTTCCATCACGCCATTCGTCAAGATTGACGCACCTCACTGCCCTAAAATAACTTCATGCCTCATGACCCTCGACATCACCCGATTCCCCCACTGACCCTTTAATGACAGGCCAATTTTTTTTCCCTATTTATGCATTAAATCAACAGCAAATAATCTCACTCTCCTCAAAGTACCACGCTTACTGTTTATATCTGACCCAAATCTTTCAACACTTCCATCACTACTAATTACTTATGTTCATTGGGCGGTCCATTTATTTCCTAAAGGATCACTCTTAACACTCAGAATAAATAGAAACAAAAGGTTTTTTAAATTTCTAAAACTTGAACCGATAAGCATTCCATAGTCCAGCTCAACACTTATTTATACCTAGCGTCACTATAACCTATGAGTTCTCAGGCTTATAAAATCTACTGCATCTCACTTCCTTCAGGATTTCGCTTTATTGTACAGATATGCAGTAAATCAAAGGATGAGAGGAAATAGACTTGTAGATGGAGCCACCACTTTTAATTGGCAATCTGCCATACTCACAGCACCATTTTGACTTAGTCGAGCGAAAAAGCACAAAGTCTGTTTAATTACATTTTTCACATCTGCAAACAGCAATTATATGGGTAACATTGGCAGGTGAGGAAATTTTATGCCTTTTGCAGAAGGACCTATAATACAGCCAATTTGGGGCTGTGAATGCCTATCCTCAACCAAAATTTACTGCCTTTAATTTAAGTGCATACCCAACTCTGTCATTCGGTATCATGCGTTATTTACCAAAGATTGCTTCGAACTTAGAAAGATGGATATGGAAGTAGGGAATTGGGGAAACGTTTGATCACGGACTGAAAGATATTAAGCTGAGTAATTGGAATTGAGGGTGAACTGTAACTGGTTAGAAAAGGAGATTCTCTGGGTAAAATTAAATCCTGATCAGATATTGGCTGAAGAAGGGAAGGGGACGGATGGTAGATAGGTGATTTGTGGTTGCGGGTATTCGGACGTGACTGTTCATCCAAGTTGCAACGATTGAACTATTTAGGAAGGATTCTCTGGTGTATCCGGTCATGCTTAAGGAATTGTTGGGTTGGTATAATACGTCATTTTCTTAGATACATACCACACTGATTGTTGCATTATAACTTAGTCAGTTGCTTATTGTAAATCTGTGTTGAACATGTCGCATCTGCTTCTGCACTGTTGCATGTGGATAGGTTGGAATACCAAGTAGAAAATGTGAAATCGACTGCAACTTTTGAAACGGCTCCTCAGGATCTAACAGAGAGGGAAGGTTTTCATTGACTACCAGTCTAAGATGGAACTTCTTGAGATTCTTTTGCACCAGATTCTGCTAAGTTAAATGAGCAGAAGAAAAATTATGGTGGCAGTTAATGCATACTTGCCACGCCGCTGTTGATCCAGTGGGATCACCACCAATCCATTCAACGTTCCATGTGCATTTGTCCATCAACAATCAAATGAAATGAGGTACTGAATCATGAATAGGGGAAGATTTTTAGTATGGCATCATTATCTGAACAAAATGCAGATGCTACCTGCATTCATCTTTCAACGGATACACTGCATCTCGAGTTGTGACAATGAAAAATTGAGTGGAAGCAGTTAAAGACAGGAAAGCAAGAAAATGTGTTTGCGGCGAATAGATATACTTGGCATAGCTGAATGCTAGTGGCTACCTTATGAAACTACCACAATGGTAACAAACTCTGGCCGAAGGTTGCTAAAGTAGCCGGACTCCCATTTTCCCCTTATCTTTCTTTATTCACCTATCATATTTTCAATTACCTGATATTTAAAGCTTCCTTATTGCCACATGCTTGGGAAAAAGATTATCTAGATGGCAGAATGCCAGCAATCATTTTCACGGTGTCGTATTCTACATGACCGCCTAATATTTATTTCTTCATTTTTTGCGAAAATTATCCTACCCGTTCCGCGATTTTTCATGAGGATATCCACTTAGCCATCAACCTCACACATTCCTATTCTTGCCACGTGTCAGTTTAGATACCCACATGTTAGTTATTAGTGAGAACGGGTGATAGTATTAGCCTATATTTATCATAGTCCTCCGTTCAGTGTAATTCATGATTATGCAAAGCCTTACTTGCACTAATATAACACCTCATAAAAGAAAAACCATTCAACTCTTAAAAGTTGACTTGCGCTGTCAAAAAGAAGCACCTCATAAAGTCTTGGTCCCAACCGATAAAACTGCTGCAAAGCCTACTCCCTGTGGATAGATGTCTTCAATCCCACACTCTCCCACACTTGTGCAATGCGGTATATAGTAACCTGAGTGCGACAAGTGTGACCAAGTACCTATTTTAATGAATCCACAAACGCGTTTCTACTGCAGACTATGTACAGGTCCCTAGTAAGTAGATAACTTAGGCACGGATTTTAGTGTTTAGTATGTCAGTGTTGAATAGAGCCGAAGGCAGAGACTAAAATAGGAAGTTTTTTATCTACCACATAAAATGCTTGCCCTTTAGTTAGAAAAATAACCAAATTTTGATTTGTAAAAGGAAGTCAAGCAATTTTCAACCAAAACTGTACACTTTGCTGCTTACTACTGCCTGCGATTCAGTTGATCATATTGGTAGTTTGAGAAGGCGAAGTAAAAAAGCGTCAGGACTTTAATGTGAGAGAAACCTATGATGCCAGAAATGCAAGCATTTTTGGGAAAGTGGAATCATTGCCTTGCTCATACTACAAATGTAATGCATTAACTGTCTCTTTAGCTCTTTGTTCTGCTTACATAAATGTTTATGGCCCTGCCTTTATACCCCTCCTGGGAGTTGTGGCCTTCAGGCCATGTCGGTAGCCTTCAGCCCTTCTCCATGTCCATAATGCATATCCCGCCCCAGAATTGCGACATCTTTCCTCTCCGGGAAACACTTGGTACGCTACATGGGTGGTGGTGGAAAGCAATGCCAATCCTAAAAGATAACTATCCTGATGTCTATTGCTGAACACTAAACCTTAACTTGACGAAGAAATGGCATTTGCTGTGGAAGGGAGAATCCGTGACGGCCCCCTAACATAAGGGTTGAAAATGCCGCCCGCCTTCCGAAAACGTCTCAGTCGCGTATTCTGCAGGATTTCTATTAACAACTGATGTGGCACTAGTAGTGAACAATCTGGTAACGTTCGCTTCTGGGATGTCTATGGTGTCAGTGTAAAGGTGTGAATTAAGGATACACGTGATATCACCACTACCTCGCTGTTAAATGAAAAGAATACAGTTAGACGTTTTTGTCTGGTCAACACTTTAGTGAGAGCAATATGACATAGATAAGCAGACGCGAGACTTTATCTCAAAAAACTACTTTAAACCCTAACATTCATCAAACGACTGTGCTTCAGGTCAATGCTCCCACGACTGGCAATAGGCACACGAGAAGGGCTGCACACTCCCCCTTCACCCACCATAGTTCTCTAATAGGACGTAACTCCAGATTCAGTAGAATTGCCAAGAGGGGTCAATGAAGTTGCAGTCGAATATCTTCTCATCTGCATGCGAATTTGATAATTGCCTAGATTGGTTAGTGGGTGTTTCCTTTACAGCACCGGCAACGTTGTAATGGCCGACTGGGAAGGCTGACCAAAAGGAGGGTCTAAAACGATTCGTAAAAGTTGATAAGGACCATAGAACAAAGTATTCTTGTGTTTATTTCTTTGCTCTGCTTTCACGTACACTTAAGGCCCAGCCATTGTAATTCCACTGGGCGGCGTGGTCTCTTGACAGAATACGTAGAAATTGCATCGCCGACGAACAGAAGCCCTGAGGAGTTACTGGCATAGTCCGAAACCCTTATTCCTGGGCCGAAATACAAAGGCGGATCCTTGAGTGTTTACTACACTAGTAAACAAGTAATCATTTATTGTATAGCTACCACTTCAGAGGTTTTGGGAGCATCTTGAGTCAAGAAAAATATATTTAAATAAGTGTATTTATCGTCACCCAGCCTATTTCATTGGCGTTTTGTATACTTATATCAACAAAATTTCTTACTAGCGTGTGCAAAAGGCCCCAAAGTTTCGCAGCAATCTGTCTTGTTTACTGGATATAACGAATAAAACAGAGGAGGATCGTCGCATACCCATCTGCCACGTTTGCAGAACACGCTAAAGTTGCAGTATCTCTGTGACCCCCCCCCACCCTGTTTATCGCTACCCAATAAGGCGTGCCCTCTTTCAACTCGTCCACTCGTTTCATGAGTATGGAGGCCGGAGCGGGGAAGTGAAACAGCGATCCCAATCACAAACATTATGTAAAAATGAATGGAGGCGACTAGAGAAATACAAATAACGCTTATCTTTCTCACCGCACCACTAATGTACAAGCTTTAGCCATTCATCAAACGCTAAAATTGAACCTATAAAAGCTTGGTTTGAAAATGGGAAGTTTTGCAAGATTACATTGCTTCCTGCACTCCTGCTTATACTTACCGTAGAATCTGGTTTAATAGAGCCTAGAATACCACTTGTAGAGCTTAAAGCCCTATAATATGGACGGGTATGAAAAAGCTTGCAGGCAGCCATTAGCAGTGGGTAGCAATCATTTATGCATTGAAAGCTGTCCGTTCTGCCATTCCCTGCTCCTTTAATCCAAAAATTTCTTCTATATAAAGTAAAGCTGACAAGTGGGTGGCATAAAAATTTGGACAACTGAGTGCTGTTAACCCATAAAAGAAAGTGATTGCGACTCTATGAAATTTACATACTGCCCCAGCGAATTAAGTTAATGAAAAACAATCAAGAATTACATGTTATGCAGCCGTTACCATAATATTTGCATAGTAGCCTTGGCTTTGATGCGACAAATTCAGCAAATACTTTAGGCGCCTAAAAGACAGCCCTAGCAGTACGTTAGTAAAAAATGGCGTAGACTACAAATGATCCAGATGCCATAGACTACCACTGAGACACAATTTCCTGCTGTGCCAAAAGCTATTGTGTTCCTTTTAAATGCAGTAACTCTTTTTCCTCCTTGGTTGGATGGCAACACTTCAATCAGAGGCTATGAAATGTGTGCCAGGTGCATATCTTTTTGTATAAATTTACGCCTCAAGTGTAGAAGAAAAGAATTATTTACCCATGTGTTTAAAAGTGGTAGCACATTCTGATGATACCCATTGGGCTGGGATAAGCAGTGGATGATAAGGCAGGTCACACTCTTCTGTAAAAATTAATACAAATGTGCCTTCACTAGAAAGAAAATTTGCTTGGGTATGAATGGGGTGTTGTAAGGACGTAGCAACAGTGTTCAGCGTCAATCAGATAGCTGCTAAAACTTGCATCTGTTTGGTGTGTCCTTTCGACTTTTAGTTAAGGACACTATAATGATTTATCTTTCTGATACATTAATCAGCCACCTCACTGTAGACTGTTTCGACAGGTTACACCCGTTTTCCCATGAATTCATAAAGTCGAGTTTAAGACAGAATGACAGAATTTAGTCCAGTTCTCCTGCATCCTCAATAATCAGTCCTAAAAATCCTCACCCACCTTCTTGAAAGCCCTTTATGTCTGTATCAAAATGACGACAAAAGCGAAATCTCACGGTATCTATTTGATTAAGAGATGGCGCGTTTGAATCAAAATGTGTTGCGCATTTCTAATTAGGATAAGTAGTATGTAAGGGAGAAATATGGCAACATAAAAAAGATGCTGTACTTACCCTTTTCTATACAAAATCCTATCCTCTCAGAACCAGGTGAACAATCAGTGCAACAGCCATCACTCTTGAACGGTTTTTAACACACCCAAAAGACACAGAATCTGCACATTTAGCATGATTTACGTAACAACAGGAATTGTGTACTGTGCAAATCATGCAGTTTTAAAGGGGCGGTAGTGAATGATCATGTAACTGCTTTCTCAAGCCTTCTTCTTGTCTGACTGCGTGACTATCCAGATTCATATCGAATGCCAGCTTTGCATCAGAACTTTAATAAAACTGTTTGCTAAATGTGCGTGCTTTTGTAAGCAGTATGCAACACACAAGCTTTCAGCCTTTTCATGAAAAAGAAGTGCATATGTGCAGTTTCTTACACTCACTCCTTTATAAGATTGCCTAATTAGATCTAGCCCCAAATGAGCCTCTTGACAATGTGTGTTACTGCTAGCTACGAATGTCCGAGGTTTGGGTGCCTGGATTTCCTTTAAACACTTATGCACACAATTGACTATCAAGCCTGTAGTTAGGAAGATTGGTCACAGCACTGACCATCTTTGTGATTTACACAAATTATACCTCAAAGGTTATTTGGGAGGCATTCTCGAGAAATGATAACGCGATGCAATCGCCATACTTTCCAAGGCAAGCACAAATTGAATGATCAGAGAAATATAAATTTAGCAACTGCAGCATCAATCACTTCCATTCACTCATGCAAACAACGTAATTATGCTCCGCTTTATGGCAGAATCGTTAAAAAGCAAAAGCGCGGTGGCAAAGAGCAAGAGGAAGGTAGGAATCATAAGCCATTTTATTTTGCATGAACCTAAAAAAGAATGAGTCAACTTGTCAGAGGATTGTAAAGTGAGAATCAAAATAACGATTTTAGCATTCGATTCGTTAGAGCTTCCTTAGAGAAAATAATAAACTATGAGCACTGCACACAAGAGGAGTCCTTCGAAGCGCCTAGTATAGGAGGCAGACTTGGTCGAGCAAAGCCTATTCCTACACTTAGTTCCAAATGGGCAGTCTCTGCAACTCCTTCCATCTTTGTACGGTTTTATGCCCATGTAGTTGCCGCTAGAACAGAGACATAACAGTTATGCAATTGTTCAAGATTTGCGGGTCATATTGCACCATCTCACTCACGGCGGTTTATATTGACATGCTAGCAGGTACACTGGTGGGGGCCAATCAGGCCTCAAGTGGTCACACCGCTTCACCGCGCACCCCAGCTCGTTGGATGTTGACCACACCATCTAAGTTTCTCGTGGAAAAGGCAATTTTTAGGGTTGTTACTGCCAGGCAACATTCAGTTAGATGAAATAGGAGCTCATAAATTATGCAGCCAAGAACAAACCCCTATTTTAAATGCTCAAAGTTTGTGCAATCTGAAGATGCATCAACTCACTTGTATGTAGTGGTGGCAGACCTTCCTCGGAGCACATTTATTTCTCTCGTAGGAGAAATCTTTAACCTCTTCCCACCATTTGGCCGCCATTTCGACCAGATTGCGACTCACGCCGCCAAACAGCACAAGATTCTGTCCATAGTCTCGATACTCCGGGTATTGCGTAGAATTTGGATGTTCGTATATGCACTTCTTTACCCACTTATCCGCCAAGCGTTCTAGTTTTAGACTGTACACCTTCCAAGGAAAAAGGGAGCAAAATTGAAGGTTGCTAGAAGTATGACCCTCGAACCACTTTGAGGATGAGAGACCTACCATTTCCAGCATGTTGGTGGCGGAGGGCTTTACACTGGCTCGTTTATGGTTGTGGTAGTGAAGGAGGTCTTTGCGTTCCTTCGCAGTTGGAGTATTTGAAGCCACCAGTGTTGCAAAGAACAGAATGTAAATAAACGTGGCCATTTTGTCATCAATGAGAGCAGAGGCGAGCAATTGGTCCAAAATACCCTGGCGGAGTGGCCTGGCTGACGAACTCACCCCAACACACCGAGTTATGTGAAGTGCATCAATTTCTGGTAGTAATTTATATTGCTGCTCTTCCACACCTAATGAAAGTTAATTACATATTGACTTGAAATGACCTTATTCAGGCCATAAATTTGTTGCGTGAGAGTAGTGTCATAAGGTACAGTGGAAAAATTCGAGGTACCTCAGGTGGCCTGCGAGATGACTCAGTTGGGATCGTGTGATGTGTCAGTCTAACTAACTGGGCAGACAAATTTACCAGAGCAATACACAGTATCGTGCGTCTCGATTTTAGAAAACAGGCGCACTGCTACTCACGAATTAAGTAGCAAATTTTCGTCGTTGCCACCTTCAACACAAAAATTGTTATCCAAAAACCAGTAATTAAAGTTTGTGGTGCTCCAACATTGCAGCTAGCGACAAAAATGAATTTTGTTGATAGACACGTTTGGATTCATGAAATGTCGAATTCCTCATTATGAAGCGCACCCGAGAACTCACATCTGCCCATTCGATTCTTTCTCATACACATTTGTGGAACCAGATGCGCATTGCAGGTACCGTTTCCGACTTTATCTTATCACTTGCTTTCAACACCTAAGTTGACACCTCAAAATCTCTTCCTTCAGTCATTAGGAGGTGTGATTTAGTCTCCACGGATACTTGGGACTGTGTCAAGTTTGATTGTTCATGTTAGCATCTCCCCAACCCAATGAATTGTTAAACCTTCTTGCCATAGATTTGGTTAACTCAAAAAAATAATAAAAAATAAATAAATACTTTAAAAGAACACATATGTGGCACATAGAGCCTTTCTTGAAGACAAAAATTCCGCAATATAAGGACAGAATAATTAATCCCGGAGCATATTGGAGCCAAGGGGCTGTTAGCATGGCCCAAAGACCACGTAGAGCAAAAATGTGCTGTGGCTGAGCAAACCGAAGCAAAGAGTGAAACACACAATCAAAGTATTTCATAGCTCCTCCTGATCCTGAGCGTCCTCCTTGGCACTGCCACTGGTCATCACAACGTAGTTGGGGCGGTAAGAAAAAGTAACCACCAGCCATCCGCGCCATTCATTGAATGTCATGCAACTAAGAAGATATTTGAACGCAAGAATAATTATTTTCCCTGACAGCATCACTGGATTTGAAGTTTCTCCTGGTTTGAGAACTTCTGCGGACGGAGAGGAGATTGTGCGGGCTCTCACGCATGTCCAACAGACGGTTCACGGCTAGCACTGCTTCAGCCGATTATACCTTCCAGCAGAACACGGGACGGGAGAAATCGCTGAAGGTAAACAATATTTCTTAACCCCTTTGTTTAGGATCGTCAAGGATTTTCCAGTACACAGCATTCGCTCCTCTTCCGTCAGGCCAAGATTTCGACTTAATAAGCAGAACTATAGGTAGTTATTCTTTAGGATGGGGTGTTTTTTTTCTGCTGCCACAAATGTAGAGCCCAAAGGCTACTCTGAAGAAGAAGGTAGTAACGGTGTTTTGGTGGAATATGTAGTGCTGACATACAGGAGGTCTGGGAAAGGGAGGCTACTAGCTTTATCCATGGGCCATGCCGCTGAGGGGATCGCTTAAAAGTTAGGGATTATCATCCACTACTCTATATAACATAAATGGAAAAATGTTTGTTTTCTCTAACTAATATATTAAAAAGGGACGAATGATGAAGTTGATAACTTTTAAGATGCTAAAGTCTTTGTGCAGACAGTAATCGGTTTGGCAGTGAAAAGTGATTTTTTGTCCACCGCAGACATAAGCGTTTATGTATGTACCTGTAAGCCTCCATATTCACTGACGATTTACACACCGACATCACAATATTATGGGTAAGGCATAAAATCATCCTAGAAGATAGAAAACACTCCAAAATAAAAGACTAAATAAGTTAATGAATGAAGGAAGCAACCAATTTTGGGTACTAGCACATAAAAATTTGCCCACGAGCCTCTGAACTGAAGTGCTTTGATATCAAACACCCTTTGGAATTTTGGTCTACAACAGAACAGGGGCACGTTCCCCGCACTCTACACACTCCACAACTTTCTCTACTCTCCATCATTATCAACCTACCTCCTCTGTGTTTGTCGACGCTTGCTTATTCACCAGCATGGTCTTCATGAAGAAGCGATTCAATAATTAGTGAGCAGCTCATTTTCATATGCAGGATCCGTCACATGTTTTGCATTTTGATCCACTACAGTAACATTAAGTGTGTTTCACTCAGTTCAAGTCTGAGCAATAAACTTCATAATCAGACACGTGAAGACATTTAAAAGCTGTGTAAAAGAGTTTTTGAGGAGTAACACACAGGACAGCGATGAGCTCACAAAGCTCCCACAAACCTTCACTGATATACACGTATATTCAAGCCTTCATGTATTCCTTGGGGAGATATCACTTGGTGAGAGCTGGGCACTTAAACTTGCAGAGGTCCAGACACATGTGGATTTGAGGGGTCGGAGTGGTGGTTCGCTTACCCTGCACTTCATAGATTAACTTTGTTTCAAAAATGGCCATTTGGGGTACCTCGCCTGAAAGGCCTCAAAACTTGCTCATCTACGTAGCGATAAGATGTAAAGGTGCTGATGATGTCTATAAGGACTAGGAAGATCAAGCTACCACAAATAGGCAAGTATAAATCACTTTGCGACTTTGCCCAACAACGAGAAAACACTCAGGCACTAATCTGTCTATATAAATAGAAGGCATCGGAGCACTTTCGTAAAGGCCCTCTACAAGTGGCCAGATCTTTGATGGCACCTTAAATTGCGGAAGCTGTTTAAGATATCGGGAACTTTAGAGTGATTTCACACTGAAGACATACTCCTCAGAATACGGACATGAAACGCAGAGTTAGATTGCCAGCCAATGCAAGAAAGTTAATTATTCTGACAATCTGCAAGAGTACGACTCATACAGCCCTGAAAGACTACTTCCATAACAGTAGATTTTAACCCCTTTCCTCTTTAAATTAATGCCATCGACACAGCACTTAGGCAAGTATCAGGGGATGTAAACTAGGTGCAAGCATACTTGCTTTGATTGACCGTGGGAAAATGGTGCGAATTCATCAACAAATGTCCCTCACCCTCACTTGTGAGTTCGAATAACGTACTTGTATTGTTGGTAGGGTGCATGTCCTTCTTAATAAAATTTTAGCTGCTAGGTAGTCGGGTTTTTTTACCCTTGTGCATGAATTTGGTGTTGTAGCACATTTCAAAAATGGAATTCCTCTTTTTTGAGCTTTATTATATTAAATTATCTTGAGTGCAGCATCTGCAACTGCGACACTTTTAAGGCCTTCACAACAAAGAATTATTTTATTCTCAGTAATGTTGCATACACTGTCTCTGCCAGTTCCTCCCATGGTGTCGTCTTAATCTTCCACTCCCTGATTTTGTGTCGTCCATCTTTGACTCCTTTCCATCCTTTCTCGTTGGACAACACCAACTTGTCTTGTGGGGGATGTGCCATCTCGTTCCAGTTTAAATTGACTGACCTGACGTTTTAGTGAATAAAGTTAACTATTATTTTTGACAAAGCATGAAGGATGAATATGAATGCGTCAATCCGAGGGACACACACAGGTAGTTGGGGTCGATTCTGACTCAGTTGGGAAAATGCGCCTTTTCAAGCCAAATACCACATGGTGAATGCT